TACTTAATATAGAAAAAACCCACTATTTTTAAATGAAGCATCTGTATTTAATTTCCCTTTAGAAATAACACTCCTTGGACATTTGTGTGTTAGTAATTTGTTGGAAGTTGGCACTTGGTCTTCTCAATTTTCATACAGCTTTCCTATAAGTACTTCCAAAGCATTATTTACAAATGCTATACTTATATGCATTATATAATTTTGTTACACATATAGCAATTTAGTTAATCATTAAATTTCAGAGCGCAGCCAACATTCAGAGCCACATAACTATGTGAAAGACATGGAAAGGAAGTTAAAAGCTGAAGCAGCAGCCACAGAACATCATCTTAAATTAAAATTTTATTACTTTGGTACCAGCTTCATGATTCTGAGGGCTGTGTTAGTAACTTTTTTCAACAATACTAGTAGGAACAATAAGTGCAATCTCAGCAAAAGTGAATTGCCCAGTGTTAAATCTCAGCTTTTGTGAGGGATATGTACCACTTCCTTTAAAAAATCACAGAAGCTGAGCAAAAGCAGACAGCAGAGCTAGAATGTAATGTCAGCTGCAAAATCAGGCTGAATTTCAAAGACCTCTTTTGCTTGGAATTCTTTAAATCTGCATTCCTAAGAAAGCAAAGCCTCACCAGTCTTTGTGTCCAAGGTTCTTCACCGCAGTTCTTTCACTGGTAGCACAAATGTCTAGAAGCAGCCGACCAGGGCTTTTTAGCTTTGCTGGAACAGACTTTGGGTAGTGCTGGGTGAAGTGTCGGGGTGGGGCCGAGTTGCTTCAGTGGTATTCCACCCAGGTAGCCCAGGTGAGGCTGAAGGTTTGGCACCACCAGAGAGCACTGCCAAGCCAGGGCAGTACAGAAGGGGATTTATATCCTTGAGGACGTTACTGCCTGCCAAGGGGCTCCCGATGTTGCAAAATGTGGAATACGTAAAAATTTTCTTAGGACAGGATGTTTTTTGATGTTTGATCTTTGTCTACTTTCAAGCCGAATCAACAAGAAAGGAGATTTAATCAAGCTCTAAGTGATGGTCCAGGTGTTAGAAAGAAAAATTGCTTGTTGAAAGAATTGCTTTGTTAAGGTTTAGGGCTCGACGTGTTTCAATGATCTCAGACCTAGGGAAAGGTTAACAAAGCATGGGAAGAAGGATGTACCACTGGTAGTGGACACAAGGAATGCAGAATTTACTGGCCACAAGGACATTTGGCAGAACCCCCTAGATAAGGAAGAAACTCAATTAGCCAATGGAAGCCTAATTAATAAGAGAACTAGGTAAATTACCGCCAATGAACATTAATGCCTTTGTTCGCTAACATGCATAAATAGCAAAAAGTTTTGGTAGTCGTCATGCCGGCTTTGTGGATTTGCCACGCAGCACCCCTTTCTGAGCAGAACTGTAAATAAATCAAATACATCCACTCCGCGTGTGGATTGGCCTCTTGCACACCGGGAGAAAGAACCTAGTTCGGGACAACGTGGTGTGACCGGGAGGTCCCGCTGCCCTGGGGGGGGGCCGGGAATGTATTAACCCCCCTCTGGCCCTTTAAGGCCCCCCCACCTCACGCACGAGCTGTGGGCGCGGCGTCTGCGCGCAGTGACCGCACCGCTCCCCCCGCGCATGCGTGCTGGGGCGGGGGGCGGTGCTGCCCCGGGCGGAGGGCGGTGACCTCGGTCGTCCCCATTGCGCATGCGTTTGGGCGCCAGTGGCGGGGGCGGGCGGTGCCGGCTGGGCGGGGGTAGCATGGCGGCCGCGCTGGGGTCTGTCGTCCCGCGCCGGGCTCCGCCCGCCGTGCAGCGAAGGCTGTGCCAGAACGGCCGCGAGGATCTTTTTTCCTGGGAGGCTCGCGGCCCTGCTCCTTTTCACGTAACGCCGAACAAACATCCTCCCGGTTGATCGGGTTCCGGCCGCCTTCGTTTCCGCGGGCAGTTGCCGGGCAGGTTCCCCGCGGCCGCTCCCCGGCGCCGAGCGGCGGCTTTGCTTCTGTTGTGTAACGTCGAAGTTCAGAAGCTTCTCGCGTCTTTTTGTCGTTGTTTTAAAAATAAGGTTACTTAGCTGGAAATGTAGTGTCCTGGATTTTTATTTCTTTGTTTGTTGCTGGTTGGTTTGTTTTGAAAGCTTGGGGGGGCGGTTTTTTGTGTTAAACGCAAAATCATGCGTTGTCCCTGATTTTGCAAGCATTTATTCACCTAAAAGCAGGTAATAACAAGTAATGTCGATTTTAACTTCGTTTTGACTTGATCTTTTTTTTTTCTTGGATTTTTCTCTTGCCTTTCCCTTCTGACTTGGCAAGGTTGGTACCAAGAGTTAATTATAGTTGAATTTCTGCAAGTGGCCCTGTAGGGTGCACAGAAACACTAATATGTGTGATTGACCTTGATGTCTTCTTCCAACATGTCGAGGTGTACGAGCTGCCCCTCCTTGTCTATATATACTTGTAAAAGCTGCTGTGTGACAGAGAATGGTGCATCCTGGGCTGGCTCTTTTTAAAGGAAGAAGCGAGAGAAGGAGGTTTTTAAAAGTTGAAAGAGGAAATAGGAAGTGAGAGGCAGCCCTTCGAGAAGCAGAAACCGCAGTTGTTTCGCGCATGTATCAGGCACTTTAGCACAGGTTCCATGGTGGGACTAAAGCCATCCAGCATCAAATTGAGAAGTTCAATTAGAATGCTACCAGGTAGAGGGGGGTGTGAAGTTGTCTCTGAGTGCCACTGCAGACTAAGCCCTGCTGGGTAGCACTACAAAACATGTGTTTATGAATTGAAGTTGGGAACTAAAATTTAGCACCAGTTTGTAACTCTCTGAGTTAAGTGCAAAAGGACAAGAATTAAGTAAAAGTTTTAGGTAGGTTTCACGTTCTGCCTACATGGTGTGAAGGAAACAAAACTTTTTAAAAATCTCTTATGAGTGACTAATGCTAATTAGTGCAGTTACCTAACTTTTAAGTGTTTATTTAATTTGCAGACATAATTATGACTTTTATTTCTTCAGGAATCCATATGAAGAAAAATATAGATTAATTCGGATTGAAAATCCAGCATTTTCCACAAGGCTGCTGCCTGTCAGAGGAGCGGTTGAATGTTTATTTGAAATGGGGTTTCAGGAGGTGAGTGTAATTTAGTAATTTCTGGTGTCTTCATCAGTTTACACACTAAAATTGATGGATGATTTTTTTCTGCTTCCCGAATTGCAAGGCAGTAGATTTTAAGCCAATTGCTACTTTTTTCAGTCCTTGTTTGCAAATATCCACAGATACCAACAGCAAATTTAGATGAGGCTGCTTCAGAAATCTGGTGGAGCTAGGGCTAAACTAATCCGTGACAAGGTTGGTTTTCTGCTGCTCAGGTGCACTGCTGGTTTGCTGAATGGCTGGATACATTCCACAAAGGAAATGGTGGGAAGCAGGGTTAAAACCCCCCTCTCTTAGTAGCAACCCGCTTTTAGGTGGACATCAGACTGCTCCATCAGACATTGTAAATGTGTGTAGGAACTGTCATTTGGAAGAGAGAAAAAGAAAGCACTGCATTTCTACTCCTTGTTCCTGCTGTCAGTAGGACTTCTGTGGCCCCATAGTGGGTTAGATAAGGGAAGCTGATTTGATTAAAAATCAATCCCCTAAAACAAAACCAGAGTAGTAGTTTGTAGTGCAGCCGCACAGGTACTGGTGTTGTCATGACAGCAGTAAAGGGCAGTAGACTCTTCAAGTGGTAGGAGGAGGACTGAGTCTTTAAAAGTTCATTTTAAAAAGTTAGAAAACTATATCCTGAAGTGGTTTGGAGTGAATCTTGATTCTGTTGCAGTCACAAAGATGTATTTCGAACATTGCTTTGTGTCCTGATGTGGTCCCTGTCTTGGTGGAACTTAAACTGCCAAGATTGTTAAACTAGAAGCAGCCTTTGTAACTATTGGAGACCTGGGGTGGAAACTCAGCTCTTGTTTAATGGTGCAAAGCTCTTGCTTTGCCTTGTCTATTTGATGCCACACTTCTCTATGGGTACATATATTATGTTACTTAGGCTAAGCTGTCATGAGATCTCTGCCTTCTCTTTGGGTTAATTAGTGTAATTGTTCTAATTAAAAAAAAAGGTGTGCTGAAAGAAGTGGTGACTGCAGAGGGAGAAACAGTCTGTGGATTTATTCTCATACTGGTGCTCAGGAGACTTCTAATGATGTATTTTAGCCAGGAGGTGGTTGGTGTAGCTAGTGAAGCACTCAAGCAGATCTCTGAATGTGTTGGCTCAGTCTTACGGTTATTGTGTTAGTCAAGGCTGGAGCTCACCAATTTCTCTTCAGCTGGTTAACTAAAATTGTTCCTTCTTTTGTCTCTGCTTAGTAAGCAAACTTTTTCAGTTAAAAAATGAGGAATGTATTTCCTCACTCTTCTGGGAGATTGATACATTCCATTTAGTTTTGCAGTGATTTTAAGTGTTAATGTGAAGCACTACATCTGCAATGATAGGTGACCTAAGGTAGCTGTGGATAAACAAATTACTCACCTCAATAAATAGAAGTGTTTCAGTGGTAGAAACTGAAACTGTTAAAGTATAAATGCTTCAGGATATTCATGCTTTTAGCAACCTATTTCTTTATGCTAAGTATGCCGATACTTGCTTCTGTAACAGTTACTGGTTTTTTGTTATGCTGCCAATAATCGTGTTACAATCAAAAATAGGAGCCCAGAAATCAACCTGGGTGCAGCTCTCAATAAAAATAATATTTCCTATCTGAAAAGTTAAACCTAACAAATATTAGTATGGAAGAGAATTCCCAGCAGATGCCATTCTAAGGTCTTCTCCCAGCATTGGCTGTCCTGCTGTGTTGCCAAGCATTTCACTGCCGTCCTGCGAGAACTGGGCATTTGTTGTTCATTTCTGTTGTTGCTGCTTTCTCTCCGAAATCAAAGCTACATAGTCCATGTGTGGCTCTGCAGAATAAGTTACTAACAAAAGCATGTTATTATGGGCCTTTTTTCTCTAGATTGACTATAAATTCTTAATCTACTGGCTTCTGAAGCTGTGAGGGACCTCAAGCTTCTGCTGTGAAGGGACCTAATCTGAAAGCTGAATCCTGCCAAGTCTCAGCAAGCTAACTTAAAAACCATTGAGTACCTTAGATCTGCATTAACTGCTGAATTCATTTGTCTAAATTTCAGGGAGAAACTCACCTGGTTTTCCCTAAGGAAGCTTCGATTGAGCAACTACGTAAAATCAGAGACTTAATTGCTGGAGAGAGAAGCAGCAGACTGAATGAGTCAAACCAAATCCCCAAATCAGGATCCGCTGAAACTGTCAGCAGCACTCAGACAGCTGCACAACGGCCTTCAAGACCTGTTCTTGCCCCTGCCCGTCAGCGACCAGAAACATCACTTGTGCAATCTCTTGAAATGGTAATTATAACCTGGAAACTTTATAGGTTCATTAGTCTTGAATATAAAGATTGAAGAAAAGTTGACTGTTGGGACAGGTTGCTCAGAGAAGCGGTGTAGTCTCCAAATGAGCACATTTATAAGCTCCATCTGAGTAAAGCTTAGAGGAACTTGGCCTGACCTGTTTTGAGTAGGAGGTTGGACTAGAGGGTTTTTTTCCAATGGTTTCTGAAGTTTTTTGAGTGTTTTCTTCAGTCTCCATGCAACTTAAACATGAAATGTGCCATAAGTAGAATATTGGCAAGAGATTTTGTTGAAGATCTCCATGAATGTTTTTTTAATCAGGGTGTCATGAAAAAAAGCTGATTTGTATTGGGAGGGAACAGCAATGTGGAGAACAAGGGGAGGGGTGGGAAGCAAAGACTAGGCTTATATTTGGTATTTGAGAGCCAGAGAAAGAACAGGAAAGTGATTGTACTGTTTTTAGTTGTTGGTGTCTTGGTTCATGCACTATGATTTCTATGTGTAGCCTGTGAGGAGGCCTTTCTTCTTTCACATGTGCCTGTCATTGAAGACAGGAATTTAGCCAGGAGAGGACAAATCTGTAGTTATCTATGCTGAGTTTCACTTGTCCAAGAGGTTGAGATGAAGTTCCTGATCAAGACAGAGGCAGTATCCTTTCATCTGGTGTTAACTGGCCCAATGGAAGAAGATGCAACATGTCATACAGCTTTGAAAAATTAGGTTATGCCTTTAGATAGAAGGTTTTAAGGATGCTTTGGTTTAATTTTCCAAAGGGTTTTTCTCCCTAGAATCAGTGTCACTTTGGTCTTAAAGTTGGTGTAAGTTGAATCCTTTCAAAAAAAGCTTGCTTCTCATACATCCTTAAACACAGTTTGCCACTTTTAAGTTATCAGGATATTGTTGGATACTGAACTATGACATACTGTTTATTCCCAATACCTGCCCAAAATCAGTAGACAAGAAGTGGTACAGCATGGTTTGAAGCGATGGCTTTTGGGGATAGAGAGCTCTCAGTGACCCATCATCACCCAAAATATCCTTTGGGAAGGGAACTGTTGTAGACACTTGAATATTGAGCTGTTTAATTATGCTAGCCTGGTAGTAATTGCCTCTGAAATATATTAACTAGATTTATTTGAATTTGGTTGGGGATTTCTGGGTTGTTTTTTTGCCTGCTTCTTGATTTTTACTGTTTCAGCCAGTTCTGCAGTGGTTTTTGGAAGTGATTATAAAACCTCTAGAGTGACTTGCTGCTGTGTTGCTTAGTACTGGAACCTTTAAAAGTTGATCTTGCAATGAGAAAAATATTGCAGATTTCAAGTTGACACAATGTATTCTGATGTTAATCCTTTCCATTTATAGTTATTCTGCCCCTACATACAGTAACCATCATAGTGGATCCATTTCTTTGCAACTATTAATTTTCCACGCTTCTTAAGATTCGTCATGGATGGTGGGACCAAACTTACTACAGTTTAGAGACACTGGAAATGCAATGTTGGCACTTTATTAGAATGCTATATTTCAGCTGATCCCTTCAGGGAACTATACTGATAGCTCTCTGAACCATTGAATTTGATCTGTATAGTCTGGGTTGATGGGAAGGAAGTCCATAAAATACCTTCTGGCTGTGACTTGACTGTTTTGCTTGCACAGCAATGGGGGTTTTGTTTTTTAGTGAGTATGATACCAAGTTATAGTTGTATTACTGTTGTGTGCTCTGCTGACAGATGTCAGAGAGATTTAGAGTGGTTTCTGTAGTGCAAGCATTTTTTCTTGCCTATGTGTTACATTTGTCATTCATGGGAGTCCTGGTAAGCTCAGGGAAAATTGGCTTACTTGAGACAACACAGGACTATTCTTAAATGGCACAGTTCTAGGGACCTAACCTATCATTATTTTACCTCATATATCTCTTCTGCGCTTCTCGTTGTAAAACGTTCTTGAGACTTGGGGAAAGGAAAGCTCTGGCTAGTCATTAGTTCTGTTATATGGATTCTGATCCTTTCCTAGATGGCATAGTGACTACAGGAGGAAAGTTGTATCCAAACTTAGAACTGCTGTGACGTTCACCACCCTTCTAAGATTTTTGCATAAGACTTCATCATTACACAGTGGCTTCCATGAAACCAGTTAAGCACTACTGTAACACTGAGGGTGTTTACCAGTGGGAAAAACGGAGTAGTTTTTCTGGGAGACTTCCTGCTGTGCTTAGCAATATCTCTGAATATTCTTTCAGGAAGCTGACAGAACATGAAGGTCTATAAGCCTTTGGCAGTCTCTAACATTTCAATATTTCAACATTTCAATATTTCTGTTCTTTCAACTTGCATTAAGGTGAATCTGGACACAATTGAGTTTTTGATGTTAAACCAGTTACCTATAGCTTATGACCTCCAGGAGGAGTAAAACCAGCTCTGTTCTGTTTTAGCAGTTATGAAAATTAAAGACTGGTCCTGCAGTACTCTCCAGCATCAAAATAATCACTTGTAATTTAAGTGCTCCTTTGAAAGAAATTATCTTCTGAAGAGTTCTCACACCTGTGTTTGCTACCAGTATCTCAGGAAAGTGTGGGATTTTTGATTAAATTAAGATGGTAGTTAACAAGGCTAATGACTGAAGCATGATATAGCAGTAGAGAAAAGGTAATTTAGCAGTGCCACGGGCTTCCCCCCAAAATATGCTAGGCCCTTAATTTAAAAATCTCATTTCATTTTCTGTGTTACTCCCCTTTAAATGGGGGTAAGTAGCTTGCTCAGCTACTAACTCCGTTATTATTAACTTCAGCTGTTTATTTTACTAGCTATGGGTGTACCTTATTGGGTGCGACTTGTAGTTGTCACTAGGTGACACTTAGGATGACTGACTGATCAAGCCTAGTTCTCATACACAATTTCTACTGAAACTGTGTTCACTTTATGTGGTCGCAGGGCTGTCTATTCAAATCTGTATCAGAGTTGATGTGTGAGAGAAGGAAGTAGAAATAGACAGGCAACATTCATAAATAAGAAATAAAAAAGCAGCAGTCATCAATAACAAGAGTTCTACGGACTGGTGTAGCAGTGTCCAGGAAATGAAAGTGTTTACAGGTTTTTTTTATGGATTTCAGGTAAAATGTGTCCAAAAGAAAGGTGGGGGGATGGAGTAGGGGACTGGAATAAGTCAAAAGCTTTGCTGTCAGAGGTGTCCTTAGAAACAATTTTCTCTTCTGTCTGAGTCAGTACACTTTTCACTGAGGACACCATTCAGAATGTTCAGAGATGACAAGGTCAGACTTAAAGTTTGGGTGGTGTTGCCTGCGATTTTTGTTGATATCTTTACACATAAGCATTTTGCCTGCAATACATATAATGTAAGTATGAATATAGAATTATGACTAACTTAAGCTAAAAATAAGAGAGCTTGTTTTTTTTGCCTTAAGGTGAAAGTTCGTAAATTGTCTTATAATTGAAAATCCTTTTGCAGGCTGCAAATATCTTGAAAACGCTTCAAACAAAATTTGAGGATCTTGTATTGATGTATGAGAATCCTTCTATTCAGCAGAAAGCACTAGCTGCAATTCCCCTCCAGGAATTAAAGAACAAGGCTCAGAAAAAGCTGTCACAAGCTACAAGACTGGACAAAGGTAATGCCGCCAAGTTATAATGTGTATGAAACTAGAAGTACACTTTCAAACATACTATGTATTGGCTGTGTGTATTTGGTCATATGTTTGCAGGTTTCAAATGCTGTTTCTAAGTTGGAATTACCTTCTTCCTAATTTCCTACTCTCTCCTTCTCTTATTTTTTATTTTACTTTTGTCATCCATCTTTTACTGCTTCACATAGAAATTTTGGATTTTTAATTTCTGAATTAGTAGTAAACGATGCTGGGGAAAAAATGGGGTTTGGATTTAGAGTGAAATAGGTACAACAAGAGGAGGGGAGCTGTTTGTTTGAGTAGTCACTATTTGTGACTACTGTCAATTCTTGCAATTTTCCTGTATGTACTACATTCTAAATTCAGAAGAAAAATTTTAAATACTGCTTCTCTTTTTAAAAGTGATATTGGTGAGATTTTGCATGAGACCTTTCCAAGATGCCAGCTGCTACAATCACCTTTCTCACTAATGCTTCAATGAATAGGGTTGTTCACATGCCATCCTCTTGGAGCTAGATGTGAAATGTAGGCCTAAATACTTGTGGTATCACTCTCTAAAATTTGTTTTCTTCATAAATGCAAATTTGTTTTGAATGTATGAAGTTATTGTCAGTTAAAATTATATATTTCTATTTTCAGGTGACAGTTTTAGATTTGTTTCAGTGATATAGTGAAATATTATTCTGTGTGATAAATATTAAAAAAACCCCCACATTTCCAAGACAGTCTTTAAACATAAAAAATCCTTCTCACTATGAATCTTTGATAGAAGACTGTTTGAAGCAATTCTGCTAACTTTATGGGAGTGCTGTTGGTTTGCAAACCAGAAATAATCTCATGGTTTTTTATAAATTACTTTGTGATGTCTCATACAACCACGTGCTAATATGCAGTTGTGCCTTTGGCATTAGGGAACTTTTTCATAGTGGATTTTCTTAGTAGTTTTTGTTTTCTTATACAACTGTACTGGGAAGTAAGAAACCACATAAACAAGTACAAAGCATACTCATTCAGCATGCAATGGAGAAAAGAGACTTAGCAGTAATAAATGACAACTATTAAATTCCTATAGGAAGCAAAAAAAAAAGGATGAACATACCTCTTAGACTGTGTTCTAATACTGCTGTGCACATTGTTTAAAAAGGGGAAGGAAGGAGGAGGGTAATGTTTCCAGGTGCTTCCCAAGCCATCAAGCTGAGCTATTCGAAATGGCTTCCAGACCTTAATTTAGATACAAATAGTGGGGAAGAGATGGAATTTCACTGTTTTAGATTGTGACAGCTTGAAAGCCTTTTTGAAGAACTTTATAGAAAATTCATTTGGGAATGGACTGTGTATGACATATATGGGTAATTGGCCCTTTCAGCTTCTTTGGTTTATCTGTACTGCTGCACTGACTGCCACCTGTGGGAATAACTACTTAATGCTACAGAACACTTGTTTTTAGGACTTGTCTTACAACATGTAATAAGCATTTTTGACTAATAAAGAGTATGCTAAGAAGATGATGGTCATTTGATCAGAAGTATGGATTTGTTTTTTACTTTTTGCCACATTCCATTAGAAAGATAGACTGCACAGTCAGAAATAACTGTGTGTCACAGCTATTTTCTGTTCAAATAAATCACACTTGTCATTGTTCCCATGTGATGTTTCAATGAAGGATTTATTTTATGAACCAAGAGAATAATGTTCATACCATAGTAGTCATATTGTCATTGATGGGTTCTAGTTTGAATGTTATCCAGAAAAAGAGAATATGGCCTGTGCTTGAAATCTTATTGTTCAGCTTTTAGCAGAACAGGCATATCCATTTTGCAAGCAGTAAGCCCTTGTCTGAGTGTTCCAGCACAAAGAGTTTTCACATACATAAGTAAAAATGGAAATTTTACTGTAATCAGAAATCAGGTGGTTTTGCTTTGATTAACAGATGATCTCTTCCCATGCACTTCACAGTCTTGCAATGTGTGTTTAATAGTGTTAGGGCCCCTACAGGGTCTTTCGTATCAAAGACCACTATAGCTTCAGAGCAAGATGTGAACTGAGCTTAAATAAGTAAAATGCACATCTTACCTAGTCTTTCTTCACTATCCTGAAAAAGGAACTCTTGCACAAATGCAACTACTTTCAACTTTCTTTAAGCAGCATTTTTATACGTTAATTTTTGTCTGTTAATATTCATTAATCAAACCTGTCTTCACTGTGACAAGAAGAAAGGTGTAGTACATAAAAATAACCAGGTATTAATACCTATGTTTTTGGTGATGATGGGATTGATAGGGGACTTACTTGAATATTTATATATCTGAGAAAGAAGAGTATCTCTCTGGGCACCGGAGCAGAATGTGCATATAAAGATTCCAAGAAGTTTAAAGGAATGGATCTCTCCTGAAAGACTGGATTTTCACATTTTTTATTTAGGGAAAGTGGGGCTGTTTCCAGGTGTCAGAACAGTGACAGTGTTTTGAGTAGATTCTAAGACGTGTTGTGGCCAGGAAAATGGGCCAGAAGAGTTTGGTGTGGTGAAATCAGCTAGAGCAGAAAATTAAAGACATCCTGTGCCTACTTTGGATAAGCTGAGAAAGGTGTTTATTTGGAGAATTTAGAACAAACTCAACTTACAAACTCAACTTGTTTGCATGGTATATACATATATTCTACAATAATTAAGCTGGGTTTGTAGAAAGTCTGTTCCTATTACACCTGGTTGTCTGGATTGCTGCCAGCATCTGGTTCTCTGGGATTTTGAAATCAAAGCAATTGTTATTCCTAGTTTAATCGCTAAGAATAAGAAAATAATATTTAGGAGCAAAAAAAGAATTAGCACTCTCCCAAAACCCTGCAAGAGTATGAGAGGCATGAGAAACTTCACCAGGCTTCCATGTGTATCTGACTTGTTTTTTTGAGCGATTTCTTATTCTTGTCCTAGCTGTAGTGTTTAGGAGTGCAGTTTTTTGTTTTTAAGTTTGGCCTTATTCGGTCATGACAATTTGGATTTTCTTTTTAATGTGTGCTTAAGTATTATTATTATGAAGCTTGTTTAATATAATTTTTATATTTTAGAAGTACATATATTTTATATGTACTTCTAAAATATCATAAAACCCCAGAGATGCTGATTTGCATAGATACTGTCAAGTTCAACTAAATTACTTTTCCATATGAACTAACTTTGTGTTGTATAAATTTTACAGGTGCACATGTGAATGAAGAGGACTTCCTGTTGTTGGAGCTTTTGGAGTGGTTTAAGACTTACTTTTTTCATTGGGTAAATAGTCTTCCTTGCAGCAGGTGTGGTGGGCAGACAGAGCCTAGAAGTGACTACCTGTTGCCCACTGAGGATGATGTAAGGTGGAGTGCCAGTCGAGTGGAAAACCACTACTGCAACCAGTGTCAGTTCTCTAACAGATTCCCAAGGTGAGCACACAGAGGTTTCCTTTGTCTTTTTTCTTGTCTTTCAACAAACAGCTTTTCATTTGCACATTTTGTGAACAAGTGATAAGTTGTTAGTTGAAAGATTAGTGAAGCTGTTTTAAGTATGATGATAGAATGGTTGATGATCAGCAATTTCTCTACAATATCAGATTAAAAACAATATATTGCTTTCTGCTATGGGGCCTTGTTCTGAATACTTGTCTAATTTAACTTTTTTTCACTGTTAATTTGATGAAGTACAGCTTCTAAATAAAATATGTTAGTATTGCCAACCACGCGTAGATAGGGTTTTGTTATTTCAGGGAAAACTTTCACTTCTGTGGGAAATCACATTGTAATACACATCTTTTGCTGAGTCTATAGCAAAAGAGCAAATATCCAATCTTTGGATTATTTTTGCTAACTATCAAAAGGACCAGTGTACAAAAATCATATTTTAAGACGTCTAAATCAATCTTAAAAACTTGAAAAATAAGATTCATTTTAGTGCTACTATAAACATGATGGAGTCACATGAGCTGAAGTAACATCCTGCTCAGACTTGTTTTGTGCAGAACAGTGATTCATTTCTGTTATCATCTGTGGACTGATTAGTACTGAAATCTGTTCAAAGCATCAGAAGAACAGTTGTGATGTAAAGATTTCTGAAAGGTGAAATGTATTCTCAGTTATTTTTGTTTTGTTTTTCTTCTGTAGGTATAACAACCCTGAAAAACTTCTGGAAACCAGACGTGGACGCTGTGGCGAGTGGGCAAACTGTTTTACACTGTGTTGCAGAGCTGTAGGGTTTGAAGCGAGATATGTCTGGGACTATACAGGTATCAGTGTTCTAGAATATTGTAATGTTAATATAAACCTATGCAAAATGAGGTTATGTGTTTTATGTTTCTCAGATTATATTAGTCATCAAGGCAGCGTGTACAGTTATGCAGTTCAGCTAACAAAGACAGTATACATTCAATTTTCTGTCTTGCCTGATGAGATGAAATACAGTTCTGCAAGTGAGGTTAGATAACTGACTTCAGAATGATACAGTCTTTAGTTGAATCTAAGGGACTGTGATCCGAAGACAGAGAGAAAGCTCTGATAATGTTTCTGAATGTATATGTACAGAAAACGTGTTCTTCCACCTGTTCCTTTGTTTGATAAATTGGAAAAAGTTAAAAGATTCTGCAAGATTAGAAGAGATGCTCTATCCTTATAACTCATTGTGTATTCTTGGCCTTTATTACATAGATCATGTGTGGACTGAGGTATATTCTTCATCTCAGAAAAGATGGCTTCATTGTGATCCCTGTGAAAATGTCTGTGATAAGCCTCTTCTCTATGAAACTGGATGGGGAAAGAAGCTCTCCTACGTAATTGCATTCTCCAAAGATGAGGTAGGAGTAATGATGTTAATAATAAATAAACTTGCCCTGGGGCAAGTATGTTATGTATTCCATTTTGGTGGAATTTCCAGAATTATTGTAGAAGATCATACTTTGATTAGCTAGCCTCTTTAAATATGAAGCAAGATACATCAGAATTTTGGTGACTTTACTTTCTTCTTCAACTTGTGCTTGAGGTTGTTGATGTCACCTGGAGATACAGCTGTAAACACGAAGAAGTACTCTCTAGAAGGACAGCACTCAGCGAAGCAACGCTACGTGAGACAATTAATGCACTAAATAGAACGGTATGTAGCTTTTCTTAAATGGATTTATTAAAGTGAAACACAAGCATCTGCAGAATGCGAAGTCCTTGAACAAAGGAATGCATTTGGTAACGTGATAACAATGTCCATGAACTGTGGATATAAAAAATGCCATTAACTATACATTTTAACCTGAATACATAAGAATCAGATGCAGTGCTGAACTTATGGGAAATAAGATAAAGAATGGTATGCAAAAGGATTATCATATTATCTATTACATAGACATGTGTGTATATGTTATTTTTCTTAGTGACTTTGGTGTAGACTTGTATATCAACAGATGCTGGGTGTAAACTGCAACTCCTTTCTAACTCTATGGACTCCTTGACAGTGGCTGAGTGTTTTCCGCATCAGTAATGCTATGACTCGAAAACAGTAGCATTTACAGTTGTAAGAAATGTAGGCTTAATTTGCTTTCTGTGACATTTTACAAGCTCCAGGAAGCGTGAGAAGTTATTTGTTTTCCAAGACGTTCAAAAAACATTGTTACCATCAGCAGAGCTTTGACTCAGTTGCATATATATGCACTGTTCATGCTTAACATCCCCAAAACACATGGAGCCATTTATACCTGCATATCACAGTTGCAGAACCTCTCTGCTAAGATTTTTTCCACTCCATAGTTGGAACAGGATGAACTTTGCTTGATTCAGTTTACTAGAATATCATAAAACCGTGAACTACCTGGGGGGTTCTGTTTTGGCCTCACTTCCTTACAGGGCTAATATTCCTGTGCATGGAAACTGTAGTTCCAGTGGTAGTATACAGCTGATGCTTTAATGAGCAGATTATGCCTTTTTAGGAGCCTACTGGCTTCAGAGTTACAGCCACACACTGAGAGTGTGAAGAATTGAGTTGAATTCATGTTTGAGCCCAGGGCTTGAAATCATTTTGTCAGTAATGAAAAGTTAGTCACATAGCAGAGTGGAGCACTGACAAGGCTAAACAGAGTGCAGTCACAGAGGAGTAAGGCAGCTTATCCCTGGGACTATCGAGATGTCTTGTGACTGAACAGAGTAATGAAAACCTGCTACGAGCCTCCACTTCAGCTCATATGATTTCCTTCACTGCAACCTATTCGATCAATAACTGACCCAGAGGCCTCCACTAACTTTCCCTTTTCCTATCAGCTCCTAGAGACTGGCTCCACACTAGGAGGGATTATAATCTTTTTGTTGTTTGATGCAAAGCTCCAACACTGTGTCTTTTAAGCTCAGTTCTTCTAAGTTACAATTAAAGAGAAGCATACCATGCAGTATACATTATCACCCGTACTGCAGTGTTAGCAAAAATGGATTTGAGGGGTCATTGCTGCTCTTTCCTGCATAAAGAGCAATGACTGTGGCCATTAGTTTTCTGCGTGTCTGTTTAGTTGCCAAGCAGAGACCAAAAATGGTTCAAAGCACATTGAGTGGCTTGCTGTTAAATGGATAACAGACAAGGATAATTTGATCTCCTCAGTACACTGTTTTACTTTTCAGAAATACTGTGTGTGTTTTATCTGGGTCAGGCATTCCTAAATGAGTGTGTAGCCTCTGGGCTACCCACTATCTGATGTTATTCTGTAGTACCATAGCACTATGATAGCACTGACTACAAATTTTCTTCATGTACTTTGTATGGGCACTGTCCTATTCCAGTCCCTTGTATGTTACCCCTATATATAGTGGGGAGAGGACCCTGAAATTTCCACTGCTTTCGTTGGAAATGGGATGGTGGGACAGGGAAGCAAATTATTTTTTTATTTTCTCCAGACCCCAATTTTTTGGTAGTGATTGTTATAGTTGAAGGGTTATAGTTATAGCCAGGTCAACTCTTACAAGGAAAACTAGTAATTTAGGTTGAATTGCAAGCATTTCATGGTGATTAATGTGAGATGATCCAGTATTCCTTGTCAAAGGTTTAAAATTCAATTTCTGCCCTCAAATTATGTCAAACCTAGCAGTAGATCCGCTTAAACCATAGGTTTAAGTCCTTCAGGAAGCATCAACAGCACAACTCACCTGATACAGAACTAATTTTAAAGGTGCAATTCACAATCCCTCTTCCTTCTCGTTCCCTTTGTCTGCCAAACAAAGATGGGACCTGAGCATGTATGTAGAGGGTAGTATCTTAGGGAAAAAAAAAAGACAAAACCAGAAGCAGGAAGTTTGAGCCGTGGCACTTGATAATGGAGTTCTTGAAATCCATTTCAGCGCATGGATGCTATTCATGACAATGTCATTGGTAGCAAATGTAGTTGCAGGTTTTCCCAGCACAGGCAGTGTTGTTCTCTGCAGAGTCTGAGCATTGTGCATGTCTTGCATGCTGCTAGCATTTCTGTACAGGAGTCTGCCGGGTGGCAAGAATTAACATATTTTTACTGTTTATAGCTGAGGATCTCACTGATTTCTTGTTATTGTACATAAAGAGTTTCGTATTGAAGCACTGTTCTTTGACAGGTTTTTTTTTCGCCTACTGTTAGAACAACTGCACAGCAAGGGCATCCAGTTCTCAGCATGGCATCACTGATTTCAGAGGTGATGCCCCCTGACACTGGGTTTCCCCTACATCAAAGGGGCTTGAAGAAAATTGTAGTTGGTATTGTTAACTTAGGGTGAGCCATATCAAATTTTCTCTGAGCTGGAACAAGATCTGTAGTACTGCATATGCATATCCAAAGTGTTCAGGCAACTGTTAGATTGAGGAAGGCCTGGTGTTTCACTGCTGGAATCGCTGCTTGTCATCCATCAACACAAGCAGAGGGCTTTTTCCCCCCTTGCTGTGTTAGAACTGGTATTTGGCATCTGGAATTTGTTCAGTTGGAGCTGTTTCTCATCATTTCTCTGTATTTACTTCCCTTTACCCAGTTCCACATTGTTTTTTTTTGTTGTAGACAACAATCTTGAAATGTCTCTTTTGTGATCTCTAACAGCAAAACTGTCTGGGGTCAGAACTGCTTTTGAGATAATTGGAATGTTTATCAGCCTCAAGTTATGGGTCCTAGTGGGCTGAGTGTGCATGCCTTGGGTGATCACCAAAACAGAAAAAAAGACAATGTGTAACAATTTACATGCTCAGTTTTCCAACCCCGTCTGAGTTTATCCCAGGTAAAAAAAAAAAAATAAAAAAAAAGGCTTTACATGCCAGCTTTGCATATTTGACGTGAAAATCATGCAAAATACCAGCCTCTCAATGAAATTTTACGATGTTTTGCATCAAATTAATACCCGTTTTTTAACTGATATAAGGAAAGAAAGCATGTTATGTAATTCTTTTTATTTTCTACTGATTTACCCGGAAGTAAGTTTTTGTAAGTTTTTCTTAGTTTTCTGACATCAGCAAAAATAGAAATGTCATAGTTTGTTTATTATATATATATATGATATACATATTTGTATATGATATAATGAAATGAATCTTTTGTTTGGGCTTAATCACAAAAGCAAGACTGTTGTCAACCAAATCATTCCACCTTAGAGAAATATAGTTTGACCCAAAAATGATACTTACCTTCCTTTCCCCCTAAATAATACTGAAAACAGCTATGGTACAGAATATATATCTCTATATAAATAGAGATCAAATATGGTGTGGAAGCATCTCATCATCCAAGCAAATATATTAAAAACATAGCACAAACCTTGTTTTAAAAGAAATCCACATAGTTAGTGCATAGCAAGTTCATAGAGAAAGCACTACTGTTGAATAACCATGCAATTATGACTGGTTTATATTTGTGTATGTGGTATAAGATTAATATTTCTAACAGTCAGTCTAGATTTTAAATCTTAGCCTGTTTTTTCAATTCTGTTTTTCCCTGTTGATGTCACTCGAGCAGAATTACAAATACTGTTTTTTCTGAATTTTTTACTTTTTCTTGTATGTCTTTTTCCAGAGACAAAAGTCTTTGTCAGAAAGTAGAAAAAGAGAGCTCTTGGAAAGGACTATTGTGGAGCTTGTTGAATTTATTTCTCCTAAAACACCTAAACCTGGAGAATATGGTGGAAGGACATCAGGCTCAATGGCTTGGCGAATGGCCAGAGGCGAAATTGGTCCAGAGGTATTTAACTTTTGCACTGATGACCATCTTAGAGGTAGCTAACTGGAGGTTTTGTGATTATGCTCTGCAGAGGAAGAGCATCTCATGTTAGGTAGCTAGCAGATTTAGTTAAAACAAGTGAATTATGCAAAAACATTAGGTGCACGTTTGATGTGAATTCAGTAGAGGTCCACAAGTAAATTTGGACGACTGATGGTTGTCTGTTGATTCCAGTAATGTTTGGGAATCCTTGCTCCAAAGTGTGTTTTGTTCTTACAAATTAATAAAAAATGTTTTTTCCTTTTAATAGTTGGTGTGACAGAACTAGAAAATTTAAGACAGTTGAAAACAATTGGGAAAACTTTTTAAAAAAGTGTTTCTATTATTAGTTACTTCCAGCTTTTAACCTAAAGTAAGTTTTGACCAACTGTTTTTGTCAATAAAACAATGTGGGAGCAACTAGAATTCTGTACTTTAAACAATCTCTTAAATAATAAGCTTGGTTGATTTTCATATCAATATTTTTTTACTATTTCCAAAAGCAAGATTTGATTTTTATTTATTTTATACTAAGATACAGTTTTCCAGAACTGTAGTCATATTTAGCTTGAGTCAGGATGCAAAGGTGTGACCTTAATCTTGAAACAATACTGACATGTGAATGACTGACAGTCCTAAATAGAACCAGTTAAGTGAAATTATTGAATTTCATAGAATTGTTTAAGAACCTAAGAGTTTATTACAGTTCTCCATAGTTTAGAAGACTTAATTTCTGCTTTGCTGAAACTCACAAGAACAAAGTAATTTTTTAGGAAAAATAAAAGGGTAAAGTTACAAAGTTTGTACTTGAAGTTTTTTGAAGTTGGTTTGTCAACTGCCATACCGAAGCACCTGTATATGGTAGTCACAGAATTACATTTGCTATTCAAATAACCATTTACTTATTGATTGTACAAGAAATATGCTCAACATATAAACTTTTTTATTCTTAACCCCTAATTTATTACTTAAATGTGCTAATTTTATGTTAAAAAATTACTTCTAAAAGTGATTACATGAAAACTTTAAAAATAGAATTAGTGCTCCCCATTGTAAAAAGGTGCAGGTCTATTGTAGGAAACTGGTTTAAAACTTCTGTTCTGCAGAAGTGCTTTTGTCCATGACCTCTCTTAAAAATGACTTTTTTTTCACTTGCAGTAAAACTGAATTGGGAAACTATGACATACTGTTTAAAAGTAGCATAGTCTTTGGGGAATTTAGGCATAGGGGACTGAAGGTGCTTGTATTTTTTGCCTTTTTCAGAAAAGAAAAGAAGTACTTTTTATTCCCTCTGAAAAGGAGAAGACATCTAAACTCTTCCACCTCACCTACAATATAGTAGATGATAGTTATACACGGATTTCCAATAACAATGAAAAAATAAGTGGCTGGGAAGCAGGTGTTTGGAAGGCAGAATCTGTTTGGAGAAAAGTTGAAACAGATTGGAAAATGGTAAGAATAGCAATTATTAAAAGTATATAATCTACCGTAAAAGTATAATAAAATAGAAAATCCTTGCCAATGTTTGGTATCAAAACCTCTCTTGATACCCATAGAATTTAGCTGATGTTAGTAAATGTTACAGTTAAGCTTCAGGTAAGACTGCCAGATGATTTAAGAAATTGGAAATAAATTTAGCTTGTCTTTCAGAAAGGGTGACCAAATTCTCTACAGATAGGCTAAGTCCTTGCCAGAGCACCAAATTTTAAAAAATGACTTCCTTCTTATGCTTTTGGGAAAATGCTATTTTATTGAAAAGCAGTACTTCTCTCAAAAGAAAAAAGAAAAAAAAAGAAGAAAAAAAAGAAGAAAAAAAGGATTTTTTTTTGTTGTTGTTTTGGAGAATAACTCTACAGAGTATCTCCTTGATACACAAAGGAAGAAATTGTCATCCTAAATATTATAGTTCCATCTGCAAGAAGGCAAAAACCTGTCAGTTATCCAGATTATTGTATACCCTGCCCAGAATCCTTCCCATCTGTCAAGACACTGAGCAGCAGAAGAGTCGTATGCTCTAAATCTGAGAACTGAAGCCTGTGAGATGGGAAGGGGTGTTTTACTAGCAAACAGCTTTTCCCACAGCAGCAACCAACTGTGGAACTGAACATTCCTGGCAGGGGCTATAGCATGTCACTGCTTTCTTCCCCTGCCATTTTACTAGTCTGAAGGGTCTCTGACCAAACATTTTTCTAGCTTAGGCAGTGGTTATACTTTGCATTGATGAAAATGGAGTTAGGTATGTAACTAACTGCCTTCTGAGGTTTTCTGTGCTGGGTCTAAACTGACTTGCAAAATCCAACAAGGGAATAGCTTGGAGAGGTTATGCTACAAAAAGGAGAAAGAAAAAGGGAAGAAATGGAGAAAAATATAAAAGGTGTCACAACAGGGTAGGCTGACAGTAGAAGAGAAGTAACAAAAACTCAAGAGTGAGTGACAGCTGTTCTTTGCTTTCCTAGGATCTGCTAAAAATCCGATAGCACATTATATTTTCAAATTTGCAGTGATCACTTATCCTCGCTTTTGCAAGAAACATACTGTCCTTGCAATGAAACTAAACTATAGTTCTGATCACCTCTACTAATCAGATGAAACAGGGTGCGACCAATTTAAAAAGCCTGGTGAAAAGACTTTAGTCTTGTATTCAGCAGCACCTCTAAAGGATGAGACAAAGGACTTGAGAAATTAGGAGCTACAGCTCCAGGTGTCTCTCAGGCTTGTGGGGAAGGTGTGTTAGTTCTGCAAGAATTACATCCTGCAGAAAGCCTGTGTAAGAATCTAAGAACTTAAAATGACTTTTCGTTAGGGGTTGTTTGTATTATGGGAGACAGCAGCAGGGGGAAAGGTTGTTTGGTGTTTGCCTGTTATTTTTGTAACTCCTCTAATAGCTCTGCAAGATACAGCTTTGGAATTTGGTTCAGCAACTGTCCAACAACTTAAGACCCAAAAGAGCCGTTACAGAAATACTTAGTTTTTCATTTACTATGTGATGAATGGAAAGGAATTTAAATCTAAAAGCCACAGAAAATGTATCTGTAGGTATTAGCCCGGGAGTAACAGAAAATTACCATCAGCTACATATTCTGACTTTGCAGTGGTGTTGATAGGAATGATTCAAATAAACGATCATCTTGGTCAATCTGATAGTAGCCATCTCCATCGTATTTGTGTATTTTCTTGCTATGCAGTGTCTCTTGACTTTATGCTACACTATGCAAACAGGTGCAAATCACAGATTCAGATTACCCAGAGATAACTTGGCATCCAGGGCTCAAGCAAGCAGACCACAGTAGGTGATAATAAGAGTGTAAGAACCTGTAGATCTGAAACCCATGTATTTCTAAAAGGCTTGTTTTCCAGAAGAATTGCTCCGAAGAAAGAGAATTTGAATTAGTTGGTTTGTTGGTTCGGGTTTTTTTCTCTGAATTCAGACTTCTTTCAAATAATTCCGGAAACAAAACAGCCAAGTTTGAAAGTTAGAGGACAATCAAACAGACACAAAAGAAAACTTTTTCTTTTTTTTTTTTCTGACTAAGTGCTGGAATATTATAATGGAAGACAAAACAGGCTAATGTTTAAGGCTTTTAGGGATAAAAACCTATTTTTAGTGCACCTCAACCAAGTAGTATTTAATGGAATGTTTTGGCTTCCTTGCTCAAATACAGCAGTTCAATAAGATCTGATCAAGGGAAGGCTCTTGCTAGAGCTACCTGAGATACTCTAAAAAAACCTGTGGAGATCAACACCTTCATGAACATTAATATTATATTCACAGGAAAACAGGGTAAATCATTAGATTTTCATACGTGATCTTCAGTGTGACACATCACACCTTTGAGGTTTTTGAGCTTTCTTAAACATGAAAATAGGAACACTTAAATTCTGTCTTATAGTCTGCCAATGAGATTTTCACATTAGAGTGGGATCTTTAGTAAAACATACTGCTGTGTTTTATTATCATTTTATTCTGGGTTGTTCTTTCAAGATTAAAAAATAAAGAGCTAAGTCCATTCAGTATGACATTAATCAGAAGCCTGGACATGACAGAATTTTTCTGAGTTTCCTTAACCTAGATTTCCAAAAGAATCACAGCAGTTTTCACTCTTTAATCAGTAATGTCCGTTTCCTTGGTTTGTTAAAAATAGATGTTATACTTAAAAGAACTGTCAGATGCTTGTTACAAAATTCTTATGAGGGTTCACAGAACTTTAATGAACGTTAATATGGGAGAGAGACTGTTCAGCCAGTGAAGTTTAGAACAGCATTGGGATTAAATTAGATTATGCAACGTTCTAAAAGTTGAAATAATAATAAAGGATTTATATATGGCTGTCATGGGTGATATGCTTTAACCAAGACATGTCAAGTCCTAGGAGAAGTAGTGAGCAGCCAGAAGCCACACCTGAAGAATCTACTGACGACACAGTTTTCTTCTTCAGCAACACTGAGCAACTTAAGTGTGGGGGCCTGTGCATTATAGAAAACCCCAGAAGTCTGTGTCTTTAAAAAATAATAAGTTAAATGTTTTTGTGGCTTGGACTTCACTATGTATGTTGAAATAATTTAGTGTTCCCTAGTGAAGGGCTATGAAGATGTACCATTACCTAACTGTGGAACAAACTTAAGGATGAAGGAATTTTAATATATAAAATTGTATTTAGTACAGTTTTAAAGGTTCAGAGGCTTGACAGAGAATGAAAGTGTGTTATTTTAAGATTTCTGTGTCCTTGTTAATTCAGTGTTTGTGGTCATCTCAGTTTTTGACCAAATCTTGATTTGGTCATCTCAGTTTTTGACATGTCTTCTTTCCATTTAGGTTTATTTAGCCCGAAAAGAAGGGTCATCCTCTGCTTCCATCAGCTGGAAGTTTGAGTGCAAGTCAGTCGGTCTAAAAATAGATAACATTTCAGTTAGGACAAGCAGTCAGACTTTTCAGAGTGGAAGAATACAGTGGAGACTTTGCTCTCCAAAAGCAGAAATTGCTCTGATGGGAGGTAAGTGTAAAATTTAAATAATGAATTATGTCACGCAGCAGAGGTGTAACTGGAAATAAATAGTTTATATGGAGAAAGTACTGTGCAAATACTAAAAATGAAATGCGAATACTTTTTCACTTTCCCAACTCAGTGTTTCTTAGCAAGGTCAAGAAAATACTGTGCATTTAATTAACACTGGTACAAAACCAGTTTTATTAATATATACAACCCTACCTGCAACAGAGCAGGGCTGGCAAGAGCAAGAGAGTGCATACAAGACAGTAGTGTTTTACTACAAATGATAGATGCTTCTATGTCTAGTGGCATCAGTCCTAACTAGGTCCTCTGAACATGAGTGTTAAACAAATAATAACTAAAAATTTGTAGCTGGTGGTTTGGTTTTTTCCCTGCCACTAATGGACAGATGAATTTGAGTAAGTGCAACTGAGATCCTTAAACATCCATTACAAAGTATACTTTTTAACATGCATTCTGTCATTATATACTGTCTGGTGCAGTGGCTTACTGATTTATTTATCTTTTCCTCCGATAGATAAAAATCTTTACTCCTATTCAGATTTTTCTGGTGCAACGGAAGTTATGTTGGAAGCAGTTCTAAATGGAGGGGATGGTGAAGCTGCATGGCAACACACACAGCTGTTTAGAGAGAGCTTAACAGGATGTGGAGAAAATTGCTTGGAGATAATTATAAAGCTCAGTGACCTCTGAGAATCTGAACTGCAGAGATGTGCTTTGGATTCCTTGAAGACATTATACTATGGATACGACACAAAGATTTGGTTGGCAATTCTTCTTCATCCTGCTGGCAGCTTGTTTCCTGTTTCACTGCTTTCATTAAACCAACTTGAAACTGCACATGTATTGAATAGGTAAACATCACAATGAAAACCTCTTTATCTGTAAAAACAAACACCAAAATTAAGGCATTGAACCATAAAGTATCTTTTCTTAAACTTTACAATGAAAACGAAATAATTTTTAAGAAAGCAAAACTCAACCATAGGAGCACAAAGCAGTTGTACTTGATTTTAATTTGGAGTTTTGGGATTGGCTTGCTGGTTTTGGGGTTTTTTTAAATAATCTACTTGGAAAAACAGTTTGAATTCTGTTTCCCAATTACAACAGATGCTTTTGATGATCTTAAAATATTTTAAAGAATAGTAGAAAATTTAGACATTTTAAAGAAAAATATGATTTTGTGTAATATCAGAAGTGCTGAAATTAAGTTAGTTTCAAGATTACTTCAAAATTTCCTTGTTGCAATCTAAGTATTAAAACTATGTTTAATACTTAGAAATATTTTGAAGCCTGAAGGTTGCTAGAAGCTAATTTTGAAAGAAGTGGTCACATGTACCTAAAATTGTCATAGCCTGTGGTATGAAATTGAGACTTAAAACTAAGTAAGAAATCACAATTTTTTTCTATGAAAAAATAGGTTATTAATTATAAATACTTTTTAATGATACAAATTCAGATTTGCTTAATAAATCTTTTTAAAAGTAGGCATGTAGGTTGAAATCTTCTTAAGCTGTTGTCTTGAGTTGCTTTGAATACTATACCCAAATTTGATGTAAAAATATATACAAATTTTCTGTTCATTAATGCAGTGTTTAAATTTATTTTCAGTCATATAATAAAAAAATGAAAAAATGCCATCCAGGAGATGTCAGATGTTGCAGTGCTGTGAATAAAGTGGATTGAATGTTCAAATTAGGTAGCCTTTATCAGAAAATCTGAGGAAGGCTGTGGCTGGATACAAGAAATTTTCTATTATAGGACTAAAATGCAGAGTTCAAACTGTAGTTTTATTTCAAAATAAGTGAGAATTAGGGTTGATGTTCTCAAGATGAGTGTTTTTAAAGTTTTTCTTATATTTTCTGACCTTTCCAACCTCTGTATATTTGAAATTATTGTCAAAAATAATTTTTGTTGAAATAAATGCTTACTGACCTTTCAACAAATCTAAGGAAATACAAAACTATTCCGATTTTATTAGGAAACTGCAAAGGCACAGTGAATGCAGGCATCAAAATGATCACACAGGCATCTTAAAAAGTGGTAGATTATGGCAGTTTAGGAGTGACAGAATGATGTATGATGGATTATATACTTCTGAATGTAAATTGGCAGTTTACAAGGAGGATTAGAAAGGAAGGGTCTCACTCCCTTAGACAGAACAACACAGTGACAGGGTACTGTGTGGAAGGTTGTTCATCAGTACCTGGCTAGTGCAAGGTGAATTTGCCAGTCTTCATTCAAAACTCCTCCTGCATTTGGTTTCAGCTAAATGCTTTTTCTGAGATTTTGATGGGAACCAACAGAAAAGTATTTTAGACTAAAATATATACTATCTTGAAAGAAAAAAAGGGAAAAGAAGACTCAGTGAAACCAATCCACAAAAATGTTTCCACTTCATATTTTGATAGCTGAAAAAGTTACTGCTTTAAGACAGAAATTATGTTTTTGCATTATATTATTTATAAGGACCTTGAGCACTTGCAGAATTCCTTAACTGCATCTGATAATTTGAAAGCAGAAGGCGGAATAAATTTAAAAGTAGTAAGATAAAGTAATTTTCTCACAATTTTGGTCAGAATCTCTGGGGGAAGAGTTAAGAGCTGCAGATAACTTAATAAAAGAGGAGAGTAATTGAAGTCCGTTATTAAAATGCTTAAATGAATTGAAAAGATTGAAAGATTGAAAAATGCCTTACCAATCTAATTAATGAAAAAGTACTTCTGTATTTGTAAGATCACATGCAATGAATAGAAGTGCTTATTTTACGAAAGGATTAATAAGTAAAACACTCAGACTGAATAGAGCTAATACGAAAAATTTAAATGTAACTCCTTCAGGTGTCTTTTGGAGTACCCTATAAACAGTGAACACTTTGAGTCTCTTCCTGCATAAGCTGTTATAAAGGCACTAATCTTCTCTGCTGATCTCCATTTTAGTGCAAATCTTAATACGTTTTTGTATTGTTTTTTTTAAACTGGAGGTAATTCCTCATCCATAGTTGCTTAATATTAACTTACACTATTCTGAATTTGCAATATTACATGGTGGAAAAATCTGTACTGCAGTCTACTCTAAAAGTATAGGTATTAAGTTATGCTGGCAATGATATGATACTGGATGAGTAGTAGATGTTGATCAGGGCACATGTAGCTAAAAGTCAATGCTTACTCAACTTCTTAGAAGTTTGAGGAGGTGGAGGTTAAATGGGGTTAAATTAAGAAATGCATGACTTAATACAGGTAAAATCAGCGATGTTTTCAAGAATTCAGCTCAGTATTGGTACATTTTGAAGAACAACTTCCCATGTCCAGCGTGCCATGGGTGCCTTCCAAAGTTGAGGCATAACAGTGAAATCTTTTCAATCAAAATTTACATAAATACTATACTACCCAGTTAATTTTTGCAAACTGATTTTGGAGTGCATGGTTTCCAACAGAACTATATGGGAGCCTGTGCACAGAATTCCTCCTTTCAAACAGGCATTTGTAGCACAGTTTTCTGTCTTAGAGCTGATGGTACTATTAATTTCTTTGTATCCTGTTTTGATGCTGAGTGCTGCATGCAAAATAGCAACTATTAGAGGCAACTTACTTCATTATTGGTAGTAATTTCCTGGAGGAAGTTGCTGAAAAGATATATCTTTAAAACATATGAAGGAAGCGCCTTCTAGGCAGTGTGGAAAGAAAGCACAGGTATGCAGGAATCAAGCAAACTTCAGTGTAAATTATATACTTGCTTGCATTGAGAAGTAAGTAATGAAAATTTTCTTGTCTGGTCCTGTATGATAATCTGTTGCCTTTACTCATCTGTTATCCGTTTTTTCACGGATTTTTCACGTCTAGTGACCTATGTGTGCGATATTATCCCTATTATGTGCAACATCAGGAAATGTAGAACACTAAAAATAAAGTATGTTTGTCTCCATAGTGCAGTGGAATGAAAACAGATGGTAGGCAACACATATGGCTGCCAGAAGCTGGCAACACCCATTTGCAGAGTTCTTGCAGCTCAAAACAAAACAAGCCAAAACAAAGGAACTCGAAGGGGAGCAGAGATTGTTCCAGGCAGATATCAGGATATCTGTCCTCCAGGTGCACACTCCCCATTTCTTTACCTTCAGTTGGTAAAGCTAGAAATGGAAGTATACTACTAGTTAAGAATTTAATAGACCTCCTTAGTATTTGTCAAAACTTATAATTTCTTAAGTATTGGTATTACTTAAAATAAATTTCTAATTTCCACTGTAGGTTCAAACTTCTGGTTTTGGACAAAATTTTGTGAAGTAATTCAACATAAAAAAATGTGTCAATATTGAAGGAACTTCTCTGTCACTACTTCGCATCATATGGAGGGTCAAGAAAGAAATTGCAGACAGGTGACTTCCTTAAACAGAGTTGCTGGAATAGACCTAGGTCCTTTCTAGAATTTGAATAATTTTTTTCCATTTATTCAACTTTGTGCTAGTTCTGAAGGTTCTTTTATGGGGTGCTATTGTTGCGAGCAGTGCTTCATGCCTTGTAGCTTATGGCCTCTCTAAGCAGTAATCAGTGACGTAATGTATATTACAGGTTTGTTGGATTGTTGGCCATATAGTGTCATCAACATAAGCAGCAGGAAAGAGTAATAGCACTAATATCTGGGACAATTCTATGTCCTTTATGCTAATCTTGAATATTTAACCCAAGCAGAAGGACAGTAGAGTAAAAAGAAAAAAAAAGTCTTCAGTAGGTTGATACAGTTTCTTCTTCCCTTAAAGGTATAGAACAGAATTTTGAGACTGTGTTAGGGCACTTAAAAATGGCCAAGGAACAAGCCAAGGGCAAACAGCCTTAAATATTTGTATTTTAGGTGTGCAGATATTATGAAATGTGTAAGGGTTTACATGTGACGGTCTGAATAAGAGAACAGGAGGCTTTCCATTGTTAAGATTTTTATTCTTAGTCTTAGTCTTTGTTTTTTTTTATGATAAGCTTTATAATTAAGCTATTAGCTTTGTTTATAATTAGCCTGCTTCAATTTCTGTAGCTTTATCTTTTTCTACACATTTTCATCTAATGTAAAATACATTTTAATTTGCTTTAATTTATGTGGAGAATTGTAGCTGTATGGTAAGTACACTGTGACAGAAATTAAGTTGATTTCTTTTTTTGGTTGATAAAAGGCATAGGTTAAAAATATTCAAACTCAGCAAAACAAAATAAAAAAAACAATTGTAATTAAAATTGATGACACCCAGAAACCAACAAAAATAACAGGACTTAATAAAATTTTATGGTGAATGAAAATGTAATGGACTACATAAGTAGTGCTGACAAAAGTAGCTTCCATGACTGACCCTGTTTTTGAGGCATTTTTCTATGTGTTCATTTATATTTATTTCCCTTAAAGTTTTCAGTAGAAGAAAATTGCTCAGAGTAGTGAACAGCTTTTTTGAAAAGCAGTCTAAGATTTAAGGAATATCTGTTTTTAAGTATTTTTTATTTCTACTAATCTAAGCTATATAATTTTAAAATTAAGAACAGGTCCTGCTTGCTTGTTACAGGTTCTTTCTTCGTTCCAGTGGATAACTGGGATCTTTGATTTTGGAAAAAGTGTGTTTAGTGGCATATTGTAGCCAAGAGCTTAGGAGCATGCTATCTGTAATGATTATGGAGTTTCAGTGTGGCATTGAGCACCTACAGATACTTCAAGGACTGAGTCTTAAGTGCTGGTTAGCTATGACCTCTTATTAGAGGTCTTAAAAATTGGGGGAAAAGATGATTTCACTATGCATTTTGATTGTGATGTTTCAATGTACATTCTGTTAATTTGATCCTCTGTTACTTAATGCTATGTGTTATTTCATATCCTTGGAACTTCAGTAATATAGTGTATGTCTCCCATATCCTTGAAGTCCCAGGAGAAAATATTTCCCCCCCTGAAAAACATCAGCCAGCAGTTTATCTCTATCACAATCAAGAGGAATTGCTGAACTTAATTTAAATAAGCAGTTCAGATAACAATATACAGAATCCCTTGGGAAACAGTCATAAGGACACCAGCTGACATAAGAAAATGAAGAACATCCAAGAGTAATGTTTAAGCAAACTCACAGTAAAGTCGGTGGAACAGTTGGTCACAGCCTTTTAGAGCAGATGGAAATACCAGCAAAGTACAGAATGGAAGGAGAGAGACTCACTTCTTGCTTCTGCATTACCACTGTGATGAGATGGATAGAAGGTAATGAAATATATGTGTGTCCAGGCTTGCATTATATCAAAAATCTAAATAACATACTTAAACTGCAGCAGCTTTTACTTTTAGCCAAAGTGTCAGGGAAATATATAGTATATTAAAAAGCAAAGTTCACCACTGGCAAAAATGATGTAAAACTTTATTGTCCAAAAGGGAAGTACCTGCTTGTGGACTGCATTAAGAATTGTGGAGCCATTCTCGTTTGGTTTAGTAAGAAGCATGCACCAAACTGGTTTTGATTTGTGTGTTTTCTTTTGTTAGGTTGTTTAGATAGGAGTTTTTTGCCTAAGTATGCTTACTGATTTCCATGATGCTGGCAATAATGGTTTCAAAGAAAATAGTCCCCCCATTCAAAAATTAAAACTAAAGATTGGAATAAAAAAACCCAAACCCAACACCTCCACCAAGGAGGTAACAGGACAAACAGGAAGTGCAGGAAGTGTTAGAGGCTGCAGTTTAATTTTAACACTTGAGGATAGAAAAAAGTTGAGATCAAGTTAGCGCTGATAAATGAATGTCAAATTTGCATCATTGAGGATTTATTTAGCAAAACAAGCTAATTGTTTCATTTTTTTCATAAATATTTTTGAAAGGAGTTTGTATCATCATGGAGCCTTTCAAAAGGAAACAGCATCTTACTAAATTCTTGCTCAAGTGTCAGTACTACGTATCATCCGCCTTTATAAGAAGTTGTCTCGCCCCTTGACAACATTATTGGTATCAGTTATTCCTCTACTTCATTCAGTCTTTGATAATGTTTTTTTTAAATAAAAATTCATTTGACTTTTTTTAACAAGGGTGAAAACCCAGGGTTCACATTCACTGCAACAAACATTGCAATTTTTCTTGACTATGTGCTGTGACTGTCTATAATCTGCAACTTCATAGTTATGTATCACATTTTTAAGGCTTGCCAGTAATTCATATTTGTACACTAGTTTATTGCTGAAAAAAATTAATGAATGACAGAAAGATATGAAGAAATGGGCATTCAGCCAGTCCCAATATATAAATAACTTTCTGAAGACACAGGGAGATTTACATGCATTTCTGGCCCCCATGATAGGAAACAGATTAAGAAACACTTGCCAGAGTACATTTACCTTTTTTATTTCATTTACTTCACATACAGGACTGATTACCAACCTTTTGTAAATAGTCAGTGAAAAATACAAGGTCCATCTGTGAGCAGAGGATGGAGGCAACATGTGTGCTGGTGGAAGAGTGGCTGAAAAATTGTGTGTGTAGAAAAAAAAAAGGAAATAATACCATTCGTTTTTACAGAACATGTGTTTTACTGGCATGTGATAAATTCAGTGGAAATCAACTAGAACTGGTTGTATACCTAGGATTGAACATTAAATCCATAACTGGGGGATATTTTTATTGAAAAAATTGTAGGGAAGGGACACTCCAGTTGTGTAGTGTTACTTGTGGGTTGAGCAGGAGTAACCACCAGCAGTACTGGTTAGTGCATTTTGTATTTAACACACATTAGAATGAGAAAACCAGCACTAGTATATATGAGCATTAGCTGTATTAGTAGTAAGATGGATGTATCCTACAGTGCAGCATAATCAGATGCTTGTTTAACATCTGATGTCCACTGTCCCCTGGGGTAACTTTCCTTATTGTTTTCAATACCCCTTCCAAATTTCCCTTCTTCTAAACTAGTGGTTTTCATCCTCTGAAGCAGTTTCTGCAGTGGCGATCAAGGCAATATTCCAGTGACTCTTAGGTAAGATCTGGAGGCTTCCACAACGTCGCTGGATTCTGTCCTTTTCTTGCTTCCCCTGTGTATTGTAGTCTGATATCCCAACCCCCCCCCTTCCAGCTTCCATGTATTCCCCAGGTCATGAGAGCTGCTGTTCCTTCTTCTCTAATGGGCAGTGGGAGAAAGGAAGCTGTGAGAATGACAGTAACATGGTCTGCTGAGGGAGTTCCTTGAATGTGGTCCTCTGAATCTGCCACATTCTTCATTGCTGGGAGATTTTGTTCACCTCTTTTATCATTTTAATTCCTACCTGCTTTTCGGGAGTGGTAGTGGTGGTGTGTCCACAGCCTTGGTGTATTCATAGGACAACTGAATCCTCACCCCGTATCATTCCAGTAATGTGTCCCTCAATAATGATTCCTCACTCCTATTTCCCCAGCATAGTTCCTGTTCCCAGCAGGCCTACTAGCCACTAATGGTAGCCTGGTGCAGAGCTGGTAACAGAGGCCTTTCCTCACACCACTTTGAGACCCACTGTCATCCAGGAGCCTAAGAAGTGAGGGGAGTGGTGTAGGGCCCACAAAGCAGGGGAAAGGGAAGCTGCAGCCATTCAAAGGGAAGGATGTTAGGACCAACATTAGAACCGAGAATCTTTTTGTATGTTTATAAATACAGTTCAGAAAGGCAATAAGGCTCCTGACCAAAATAAATCAGCAGATTTTACTTCTCGGGAAAACTGTTCCTCACACCTTATAGAAACATTACAGAAGGACAACTGAAGAAATGGCCATGAAAACTCAAATGAAGGATTATACATTAAATTTGCATTAAGTTTGCATGCTATGCTACAAATACCTGTTGAAAGGTTATACTTTCAATTTAACTCCAGAGAATAACCCAAACAAATACTGAATTGAGAAAAAAAATTTTTATTTCATGTCTTTTTGAAGGATTAACTATTGCTTTTTATAAATGAGCAAAGATCTGTAGGAGTAGAAATGCAAAGCACAGCATCCATGTCATTAACATGTTAATTCTTTTAGAGGGAATTGAAAAAGCAGTTTGAACTATTATGGTATTTGCATCTTCATGCTACTCTGTTACAGAACCTGTTAAGCAAGCAATGGTCCTGGCATAGTTAACAACCCTGTAGGGAGCACCAACCTTACAGATCATGGGATATCCCACCATGACCAGCATAGGAGTAGTATAGGTCAAGAGTGGGATGCCAGGTGCTGCAATCTTCTTTCTACTCATGAAACACAGCATTTGATAAGTGGTCAAAAGTTATCAGGGCGGATTTAAACATTAAACAGAAGCTGGATGGAGACATGGGAGTGCCATGTTGTGTGTGTGTGCTCTGTTGGGAGAATGTCTATTGTACTGGGCAGCTTGGGGGTGCTGTGTGCTGTACTGCACAACGAGGTGTTTGGCTTTGTGGCTAAAAGCAGTCATGCTGGTTTGCTGAAGCACCTCAGAGCTGGAGCATGTGCCTTGGGTTATATTTGATTGCTGTAGCTCCTGCTACGTTCCCATGGGTTGGTTAATGTGCCTGCCTATGTGGCCTGTAACTGTGCTCTGTCCTTGTGGTAGTCGGAGAGTTGGTGTGGTTTCTGCTTTGCTGCACTTTAACAAAAACAATCAGAAAAGAAAGCATTGTTTGCTCTGAATTCTCTTCAATTAGTACCTTTCATTATTGGGGAGAATGGATAACGTGATTAGAAAGCTGAGAAAAACTTTATGATTTGAGAATTAAATGTCACAAAGAACCATATGTATGTAGTTGATCTGTTAAACTTTAGCTATTCTGTGACTTCAAGTAGTTTCATTGTGTTTTCAGTCTTTATGCTTGTGTGCTCTTTCATCGTCATTGCTCATGTCCCAGAAAACTGAGTCCAACATATTTTGAGAGAAATGATAGAAAATAATGAGCAACTGAAAAAAACAGGTTAGCAAACCTGAGGAATTCTCATGCATGCCTTTGGAACTAACAAGTGCCTTTTCAATAAAGTGACTGAAAAATGTAAAGTAAAAAAAAGAGCTTCCATGTTTCCCATCATGAGCCACAAGAGAAATGAACTCAGCAGAAAAATGTCATGTTTCAGTAGAATGTCAAATGTATCTCAAAGGGTACAGGGACACAAAAGAATCTGTAATAATATCTCTGTCTTGACCCAAAGAACTGACTTCAGTACTCATTACAAGGTAAATGGAATTCTGACAGAGTCAAATATTTTCAAAATCTGCTAGAAAAGATATTGAGGCATAAATTGCATTTTTAATTTAAGACACAGCATAGAAAAAAAAATGTTAAATGCGACAGGAACTGATGCTGTGTTGCAAGTTCTGGATAATGTGTATTGCCTTTTCATGAAAACCTGACAAACTCATTGCACCGATTACCCGGAAATAAAAGAATGTGAGCAGCAGTAAAAGCCAACATACAAGAAAGCACTCTACATCCAGATAAATTTCAAGAGCTTCAGAGCTTCCCACTCTTCAAAGGCTTTCTGGAATAAAAACTTCCAGAAGAAGAACATGTGTGGAATAATACGGCTCAGTGAAAACCAGCTAAATAAAAAAGAAGGTGAGTTGTTATTACAACAATTCAATAGCATGATGCTAAAAACTTTGGCATGAATTTACTATGAAGCACAGTACAGGAAAATTAACTGTTATATAAGAACACAGTGTATTGCTAAGTTGTTCTTTGTAAAATTAGTTTTAAAAGAATGGATATGATAATTGTGTAACACTTAACAGATGTGTTGCAAAAGTGGTTATGCTGCCTTCTTTCGTATTTTGGTCTGTCACTAAGGTAAAACATACAGTACCTCTTTTTAAGGTTCTTTGCTTCATAGTTTGCAAGAAATGGAGGAATATTCTAGAAGAACTGCATTGATGAAAAACATTTTTATTTTCTGTTCTACAAATTAAATCCACAGTAGATTTCAAAAAGAAATTTATAAAATAATGAGGACTGCTGCTTCCATATTCCTTAGGCTATAAAAAAACCCCACAAATATAAGTATATCAAACCAAGTTGCTTTTAATGCATCCTGTAGGTGAAAAATTTTATTCTAGAACATTAAAATGAATTTAAAAATTATTAAGGCACATATATTCGAAGTCATTCAAAAGATTGTTTTCCTTCCTCACAGGTGACAGACATGTATCTTAAAGAAAGAAATGCTGTGATCAGGATGCAGCTTTCTGAAGTGCTCAGAAATGGAGAGATGCTTTTGGAACTCATGCTGTGCTGAAGACCTAGATTGAGATTCCCAGATTCTAATATAAATGTGCCATAGCAAAGTGCTGGCTAAATAATTCCTGAGTAGTCAAACACCTTGTCCTGGCCAATACTGAAAGCTGTTGCTACTGCAGCTTCTGCTACCTCTACCAGCAGTGGCCACAGTCATAGTGAGGAAGAGGCATATAACAACCACTGATTTGGATGATTTTACTTCAACTAAAAACTGAGGTAATGTGTTCTTATTTTCTTAAATAAAAACGGGAGGGCCCTAAGGAGCATGAAGAATCTATAGGTAGATGGGAGCAATATAAGGTAGGTAGTGGAAAGAGAATTTAAGGAGTTTTAGTTGGGTAAAAATAGAACAGGAGACCATAACTTAGACATATAAACATTTATTGTGTTGCATTTACTATTCTATTTACCCATTCTCGTAATAAATGCAGCAAGACTAAAATACTAAGGAGAAACACCACTATTGAAGCAAATAATGGAGGACAGCTGATATCTTGGAGAGAAACGTTCAAGACCCAGAAATACCAATGTGTTAAAGGATCTAAAGGAATAACAAAAGATTTTTGATGCATTTCTGATCTCCTTGCTTAATATTAACACCTAATGAAAATAGAGAAGGGCATGAAGCAGCTAGCAGTGACCATTTTTAAACATTGCTTGTTTAATCGTACAAACTGTTGAATTACACAACTCCTACTGAAATAAATAGGAACTGTTGCTGTTGAGCTCTGTTACAAATTAGGGCACCTGAGAAATTGTTGAATAGCTGATCTATAACAAGTAATTTTGTTAGGCAGTTGTAAATTTGGATAATGCTTATGTTTAAGTGTGTGGCTGAGTATTGTGCACATTTTACCTGTTCAGGTCTCCCTTTTTTTTTTTTTTTTTTTTTAATTTTTTTAGTTCAAGTGTAGATCTGACATAATTAATCTGAAACAATGCATTTGAGCAAAGGGAATTTTTAGTAAACAGGTTCCTGGAAAGCTAAACAACTGAAGTCAGCTAGAAAAGAGTACTCGCAGAACTATATTATTATATAAACTTTCTCTTCTAAACTGCTTTGTAATTGTCAGGAGCACGCAGTGAGCATGTTCCCTGTGTTGTGGACTATAAAAGAGTAATTCAAATTTTAGGGTATCTAGTACCGAATCAAACCCATCATGATCTAATGATTCAAAGCACTAAACCAGTATAAACTCAAGCTGCCAGTACAAATTTGCTCAAAGGGTTTGTTCATTAATTTGTTGGATGGGTAACTTCAAACTGTCTGACTATCTATGGTTCTGCTAGTCTGCGCCTGACTGGACCCTTCATAGTTAGCCCAAAATTTTCTTTTTGGTAGTTCCTTCTTATTGTCTTCCCCACTTTCTGTGCTCAGGTTTATTGTTTGCTGATGTCTTCATGTGTGCCTACCCTAGCCCTCTTTCAGTTGGGTGTTTACACATCATTCACTCAGCTCTTTCTGTTGTTCTTTGCTTCCGTTATTTATTTATCCAAATTTTCCAAAACTTGTACCCTCCTTCTCTTTCTGCCTTTGACCTCAGTGTAAGCTATGTGAGTGCACTGGCCACACCTTAACAACATGCTCTGCCTCAATGGAGGTTGAGCCATTGGGTCTTCTCTGAGACTTTCCTCTTCCTGGATTGCCACAAGAACCACATAACGCCATTCTGAGAAAGAAAATGCAAATGCTCATCCTGACCTAATCATCATCAATCCCAGTCAAAACTGGTGGTACAATGAAGCTGTGCAGAAAAGCTTGTCCTTCCTATTTCCTCCCCATAACTACTAATCATAAATCAAAACATAATTTGTCAGAGATGATTGAATTTTAGCTCAAAAGAGCAAAATACCATCTCTTTAGACACTTCCCAGAATAGTGGGCTTCTCTGTTGTTTACATCAGTCATCACTTTTCCCCACAGATTCAACATATTCATGCATGCCTCCTTCACCTTCTTGCCTCACAGGAATGAGTAGACATAAACTGCTATTAGGAAGCAGTCTTGATACTCACTCTGGATCAATCATGGATTTCTGTGTGGAAGGCTATAGAAATACATTGGTAATGGGGACCTTCAATGAGCAAGGAGAGTCTTGCTGGGTAAAAATTAATTACCACTCACATTTTCTTGCCCAAAGAGTCTTGGATGAACTTCTAGGAACAAAACTCCATGTCTTAGCCAAAAATATATTGCCCTTTGAAAAGAGAGAGCTCCTTTTCAGGAGTTTTCAGGGCTGGCATAGAGGGACAGGAAGAAAGGGGTTATGTGGCTAACACAGAGGAAAGTTACTCAAGTGAGGCAAGCCTAGCATGCTTTGCTGTGTTCAGCACCCTGAGCTCAAGGGAGTGTCTTTGTGAATGGCATGCCATGTCCAAACCTTGCTGGCTCTTTGCATTCTCCACACTAATTAACAATGCCATAATGCAGTTGGTGATTCCCAGCCTACAAATGATCACAGCAATCTGCCTCTCAGCTCAGATAACATGCTGATGGCCACTGCCATGTCATGGATGTTCAGCACAGATCTCAAAACACATCGCCTTCTCTCTTATGTGTATCTTTCTGTTGTCTTTGCCCCACCTCAGCACTTGCAGCTTTTCCCACTGTCACCAACTCTTTTAAAAACCTCAGATGTTAATAGCGTGGATATTAATTTTATTCACATTGAGAATTCCTCCCAGCAGGGCCAGCTCAACCTCCTTTGCTTCATCTCCGCATGCAACTTCTCTTGCCCTATGTGTTCAGTGCACAAGGAAGCTTTCTCCTAGAAAAGGAACTTCAGTACAAATGTATTTAATTACTATGACCAGCCCCTGCCTTAGCAGCAACTCTGTTTATGCTGCTCAGAGAAAGTGTGTCACAGTTTAAGACTGAGCTGACAGTGAGGACACTAGATGGACTTGGATACTAGAGCACTTCTAGTCACACTTAAAAAAATATTTGATGTTAACAAGTGACACCACTTCCACATTCCGTGTGAGAGAGTGCAGTTCAGGACAGAAGCCAGGCATGTAAGCGCGAGGGTCTCTAACACAACCTGCCTCTCCTGCAGCAGGAGATGGTGCAGTCCTGGGGACAGTCAGAGAGGTCAGTGCAGCGGTCCCAGCCATGCAAGGGCAGTCCAGGTGCAGGGCCCTGGAGTCCCTGCAGTTAACCCTGTCAGCAGCGGGCTCACAACCTGCACCGCTCCAAAGTCTTCCACACCTCTGGCAATAGAACAGCAATTAACAGGTTAGTTATGGGGCAGTAATTGGAGAGTAAGCAGGGTTTAACCCCTTCAGTCCCTCTGCCAAATTGTCACTGAGTGGCATGTTGTTCTTGGAGGACTAAGATGGAAAAGACCTGGTGTTTTCCAAGAGACTGGTTGTGGATCAGTCTGGCCCCAGGAAATGCTACTGACAAACACGCCATGGATACATCAGGCATGTAAGTCCTGGGCAAGGTTCAGATGAGAATGTCAGGCAGTGCATTGACAGTCTGAATAGCCACAGAAAACCACCAGTGTGGGCTCTTGCTAATGCAACAAAGGTATTTGAAATACATTTGTGTAAATATGCATGACCCAGCTAAATTTATGTTGTTAGATGATCCAGACATGGGTAGACTTTTCTTAAATACCTTGGAATCATGGCCTGAAGCTCATTCACAAAGAAGGCAGTACAAGTATGCTGATCACTGTCGTGTTGTTCTACCACAATCCTACTCAATAGTTTGATCCGTTATTTCACAATTATGTTAATGAGTTATGATGAATTTTTTAAATGCAGTACAATATGGAAATTACTATATTGCAAATGTAAATATTTGATATTAAAATATGCAGTGTTTGTTTACACCTTATTACAACTACATACAATGTGGAATGTATAATGTAATGGGCATCAACTTAGTTCCATAAATATTTTAGAACAAAATTACACTTTTTCCTGTGTAGTTTGCAGAAAAATGAGAGCTGTGATTGGTCATTTAGGTAAGTGGTTGTACCCAGGTATGCTCTCAGAGTAGATAAATGTACACAGAAATACTTAAAGACCATACGTACAGCTGTCTTACTGCTAAAAAGATTGAACACAAAGTAATGTTACAGTAAATATTTTGCTTACTAAAACCAGTAGTGAAACTGGTTTAAATAGATGATTGTTTTGAAAATTTGTAGGGTACTTCTATTTATATTACGGTCTCTAACTATGAGGACAAGTAAATCTCCAATGAATTGAAATAAGACTTCGTGTATATTATCACAAGGAGACTATTAATTTAAAATATCACACGATAAGTGTAAAGTATTTGACATAAACCGGTAGTGCATGATAAGGCAGGTGGCATCCAGTAAAGAAATTCCACTCCTATCAAAATGTTATGGTGCTTAAATTTGATTCATGCTCAAATTTAATTCTGTGTTTGTTTTAGCAGGGATCACTTAAAATGTGATGAGCAGTTTCGTTTCACTGCTCTACCTCTTCAATCCACGGAGGCAGCTGCTTGTAGTCTCATGAGAACTTTGTCCCACAATTCTACATGGCTAGGAATGCACCCACTCAGCCTACACATGTAAGTATTAGGATAAAACCAACATCAACAATAAGCCAGTAACATGCCATGCAGCTAGCATAGTATATGATGAGAATTAAACAGAGACCAACTTGAACGAAGTAATTTCAAAGACTAAAGAAAATGCTTGGAGGAACATCAATATTTCTCCTATATTTGCTCCAGCATGACACATAGACTGAACATGTCTGACCATGCACATTCCAAGATCAGTAACTGCCAAGAAGAAACTCCCTCCCTCTGTCTTTCTCTAATATATATGTAATTGGCTGTCTTCAAACTAGATCGCTATCTGCTACTTGGCTAAGGATAGAGGGTTGCAAAAGGCACACTTCCCACACTAAGAACAGCCTATTTACTAAACAGCTGGAGCTAATGAGACCAGAGTACACTAATGTTTGTGACTTGCTCTGTTTCTGCTGAATGCAGTAGTGGTTCTCTGCCAATGCAGAAAGCTTTGAACAGATGCACTCATTCTGTTTTCTCTGGTCCTCACAATATTCATTGCAGCAGTCCTGGTTTGCTGTACATGATTCATTTTAGTGGGTCCTACGTATAAATTTGAGAGTTCGAAAAAATCCACACACCACTGTTGTAATCAGCAAGACCCAAATTCCGAAGCACTAGGCAGAGCCCTGCAACTGTTACCTTCTTCTAGATCTTCGAGAAACACTGTTTCTTATCTTGCTCAAAGTAGAAGAAAACACAGCCTACAGCTCAGAGGTACAAGCAGCCGCAATAAAATTGGGCTGGAACAGATAACTTACTGTCCCTTCTAGGCAAATGCCATTATTTTCCATAATCCCTGCACAGCACTTATATATTAGTTTAATAAGTTCCTTAGAAACTGGCAGGGTAAAATTATGTTAAATAAGCAATATTTACAAGAAATTCTTCTGATCCTTCCCTTGAGGCATAATTGAACATTACAACTGGCTCCTCAAAAGCAGCTGCTCCATTTCCAATCCCTTTACTTCTAAGGAAAAGCATTTTGCAAAAGGAAAAATCTTTAAATTATTGCTCTTCCTTTGAAATTATTCTCTTTGGATATCAATTTGCCTGCTATCTCAGATGCAGTGCTCCTACTAATCTCTCCTTTTGAGACTTTACATTTGGAATTATTCATGGAGTGGAACAGGCTGGACTAGGTAGGTCCTTTGCATTTCACAC